AAAAATACAGTTGAGATAGCTCTTCAAATTTAAGAGGTTTATCTACAGAATTCTATGTTCCCAATTAAAAAAAAATAACATGGTATAAAATACACAAGTTGTATTTTTTTAAAAAGTATTGTTGTACCTGTATAGTAAGGAATTTGGCCTTCAAAGAGAGGTCTGACCTCTACCCAGGCTGCTGAGAGGTGACCTATAATCCCCCAGACTTTCTCAAGTGATTGAGTCTTTGTTATTCCTGGTGGGTCCCTCACATGATACAGATAGTTTATGCTAAGGAGAAGACTCAGGGTGGGAGAAAGCAACACCAGAAAGACCAACAATATGATTAGAAGGTTGGGGCTTTGGGCCAGGTGACATCAGCCTAACCTCTCGGGAAGACAGGAGGGCTGGAAATTGAGTTCAACCATGTGGGCACTAATCCAATCAATCACGCCTAAGTAATAGTGCCTCAAAAAAAGCTCTTGACACTGAAGCTTGGGTGAACTTCCTGTGTCAATGATACTTGGTGCAGACTGTCACACATTGATGCTGGGAGGGTAACTTGGGAGCGTAACATGTCCCTGAGAACAATGGTAGCTTCCCTCTGGGAAGCCTTCCAGATTCCACTCTATATGTCTCTTCATTTGGCTGGTTCTAATTTGTATCCTTTCGCTATATTAAAACTGTTATCGTAAGTATAGTGGTTTCCTGAGTTCTGTGAGTTGTTCTAGTAAATTATCAAGCCTGAGGATAGTTGGGTAACCCTGAATTTGTAGCCAGATCTCAAGAGAAGATGGTCCTGGGACCCCCAAGCTTGTAGCTGGTGTCTGAAGCGAGGGCAGTTGTGTGGACTGCTCCCTCAAACTGTACAGCCTGGTAAACTCCTTGCAGTTCTTCAGTCTATATGTTACTCTGCTTCAAAAGACAAATAGAACTTCTTACCTGTATCAAAACATTTAATAGAATAATCAGCTAATGCCACAAGGAATTCAGATTTCCTACGAAGATTAAAGGCCAGAGCTGTGCAAGCTTGTGCTGTTCGCTGAACAAGATTAAACCTATTAAGAAATCATCACATTAGTATCAGAAATTCTTCCAATAATCATAAATTTCACGTTGAAGAAGTCCTAAGAGATGAAGAAAATGAAACCCAGAAAATTGAGCTACCATTTAGTAGGCCAAAATAGATCATGAAGGGTGCTATGGGCCCCTGTAAGGAGTTTGGATTTTACTCACACAGAATGGGAAGTTGATATAAGTTTTCAACATAGCAGAGTCACAATTAGGTATGTCTTTTAGGAAAGTGATCCTGGCAGCAATGGCAAATGGATGGGGAGGACAACGAAGAAAAGGAAATCATTAAGAAAGCTACTACAGGTTGGGCACGTGGCTCATGCCTGTAATCCCAGCACTTTGGGAGGCCGAAGTGGGAGGATTGCTTGGGGCCAGGAGTTTGAGACCAGCCTGAGCAAGAGCAAGACCTCATCTCTACAAAAAATAGAAAAACTAGCTGGACATGGTGGCACTTGCCTATAATCTCAGTTACTCAGGAGATTGAGGCAGGAGGATCACTTGAGCCCAGGAGTTTGAGGATAAAGTGAGCTATGATGATGCCACTGCCCTCTAGCCCAGGAGACATAGTGAGACCCTGTCTCCAAAAAAAAAAAAAAAGCTACTACAGGGAATCTCAACTAGAGATATAGGTATAAATCAGAAAAGACAAATAGGAGAGGTTTCAGAAGTTAAGGGGAAAGAGACTTGGTATGCATCAGACATGGAGTAAAGAAGGTAATCAGGAATTGCTCATGTGTAAAATGAAGATAAGAATAGTTATCTTCTAAGCTTGTTGTGATGATTAAATGAAATTTACATAATTAGCTTTTACCTACCATTAATTAGTTTCCCATATACTTGCCTTCCCACAATTTACTGCCCATAGAGACTGAAGGTCCTTTCCCTTTGTCTTGTCACTTCTTTAAAAATTTGTTGTTCTTTGTTGAAGATACTATATAAAGCAGAGTCTGAGCCATTTCTTTGAGTTACTCATTTCTGGGTACTCCCATGTGTTATATGCATGATACAAGTTAATAACTTGTTCGTTTTCCCCTTGTTAATCTGTCTTTTTTTTACAAGGGCCCCAGTTGAGAACATAGAAAGGTTGAGGAAAAATTATTTTTTCTCCCCTAAAATAGATATGGAAAAGGGACAGTGGACAAAATAGAGAGGAATGAATACTCATAGTGCAAAATTGCTATAGAAGATAGCGATTAGCACTAGAAGAAATTAAGATCCTATTTTTATGAATAAGGTAACAAAGAGGCATGGATGGTTGAATTTACAGATATATTTGAGGCTGCAATGGGGGAGGAGGAAGGGAAGCTTTAAAGTGTCTATTTTCTCAAAAATTAGGAGGCATGACAGTCATAGTAAGAGCAGGGTCCAACACAAAAAGACAAGCAAACTAATAAAGGTTTGCAAAACTTGGTGGAGAATGGGAGGAAAAAAAAAAGAAAGGAGAATGGGAAAAATAAATGACAGTCAATAAATAAATGAAGTGCTAAGAATCACTGATGTTGAAATTCATTATTCTGTAATGGAATCAAACAACAATTATTTGTATTTTGTTCAGGAGTATAAGCAAAGAGAGAGTTGTAATGATTTAAGACTGGGAATTGGTAGGGTAGGTTACACAAGAATAAAGGGTAGAAGAATTGGGACCATTACTTCTTTGGTAAAGGGTAGAAATGATTAACAGATTTCTACCTAATAAATCACAGATAAGTAAATCATATTAAATACATGACCTCTTTTTTTCTTGAACTACTTGAGAATAAGTTACCAAGATCATGTTTCCTACAAACAAGAAAACCTTACATAATCACAGTACAACCATCAGAATAAAGAAACTACATTTATCTATTACCATCATCTAATCCTAAAACCAATAAAATTTTGCCAATTATCCCAATAATGTCCTCTACAGCAAAACAATCAGTCCAAATTCATGCCTTTGTCATGTCTATTTAATCTCCCTCAGTCCAGGAGTTCAGTCTTTACCCAACTTTCATGACCTTGACCCTTGTGAAGATCACAGGACAGTTTTATTATGGAATGTCTTCAATTTAGTTTTGTCTGATGATTCCGCTGATTAGATTCAAGTTATGTGTCCTGGCAGGAATATCACAGAAATGACACTGTATTCTTTTCACTGTATCCTATCAGGTGGCATACAAATTTTGATTCATTCCACTACTGGTTTATTAACTTTAATTATATCATTAAGGCAGTGTTTACTAGGCTTCTTCATTGCATTATTACTCTTTTTTCCCTCTGTAATTAATAAGTACTTTGTGGGGAGATACTTTGTGACTATGCAATATCCTATTCCATATGAAGCAATTTATTTTTTTGTTTGACTGCAACATGAACTCATGGATTTCAATTTTATTCAATGGAATATGACCCAGTACTATCATTATTTATTTGTTATTTACATCATTACTTGTTTGGATGCTCAAATTATCTCCAATATGGCCAGAAGGAGCTCTTTTAAGCTGGCACCTGTGTCCTTTTCACACATCCCTATCATTGTTTGAACAATTCCTTCTTTCTGGCTACAAAATGTTACAGGCTCATCCTGTACTTTCCCTGGCTTCATTCTGAAATTGGCCATTTCTGCAAAGATCCCTGATTCCTTTCAGTAGAAAGTGGTATTTAGAAAACAAGAACTGGACACCAGGTATATTCCTTGCTATTGGCATGTTGTTGCTCCCAGGCCTTGAGTGGACAAAGCTAGGGAATATATGTACATATATTTGTATATACCTTGATTTATATTTATATATATTCAAAACTAGTTACTTTACACTGATATATCCAATTCCAATCCAGTATCACCATTTTCATTCTGGTTTTCTCCTTTCCATATTGTAAGTCCCTGTTCCAATAGTGAGGAACTTGGCCTTCATTATCCCCAATGTATTTATTTGATCAAATCTCTGTATTAAACTTGTCATCATCACCCCATCTCTCATGCAGACACCCTCTGACTCTCTTGCTGGGTTGCTGTAGTTCTCCCTCCCACCTAGCCCTACTGTATGGACCTTGATCAATGCCACCTAATTGCTTTTGGACTAAATTGTTCCACAAGGGAAGAAAAAAGAAAGAGTGAAAATCAATTCTTTAAAATTCTTGGATCTAGTACACTGCAATAATAATATACAAAGGAAACTGTGCTCTTTCTAAATTGCCTAATGAAGTACTAGAAATTAAGTGATAAATTAGCAATAACAAATTTTTAAATTAAAGAAAAAACAAGCCATTAGAGACACTTTAGAACCAGCACTTTAATTCTTTAAAAAAGTTAGGCCATGTAATCTTTCTATCCTTTCCCACTTTCTTCCTTCAGCACTTACATCAGTGTTTTACAAGATACCTATAATACAGAACTTAATAAATCTTTCTGAATGAATAATGAATAGCAGGTACGAAAATAGTCAGCGAATTAATAACTTGTTAAATAAAGTAAATATCAAAAATATCTGCTTACCTATTTCCATACAAGTCAAAAACATAAATATTTCCTTGATGGTCCCCAGCAATTAAGGAATCACCTGAGCCATCAAAAGCCACATTCAAAAATCGCAAAACTTTTGGATGGTAATCAGAAGTGTTGTGAATGATGTTCACTATAATTCTGTCAAAGAAAAAAAAAACATTAAATTCTATGTCAAGTATTACTCAATATTATGAAAAAATATGACTTTTAGAGTATACTAATTTTGAAGGCTACCTATTCTTCCCTCTCCTACTGCTACTACTGCTCCTCCCCTCCCCTAGAATCAATCTTAAAAGGATTTCTGAAAACAGTTCAGAAAGTTATGCATTACCAAAGTAGCTACTGTTCATTCATCCCTCAAATACTTGTAAACTCACTATGTCAGACACTGAACAAGCCAGGTGCTACAATAATTGATAGACATGGTCCCTGCCCTCATGGAACTTGCAGTTTAGTGGCAAAGACAGATATTAAAAAAATAAACACATATATAATAGATTCATAAGCACATTTATAAATTGTGATTAAGTGATAGACAACAACAGGGAATGAGATTTTGTGATATAGAATGTTCCAAAGGGAATAAACATACATGAGTTTTACTTTCATTTCTAATATATCTACTATAATACCCTGGCAGGTAAGCTCTCCAAGGATAGGACCACTGCTTATTCATTACTGTATCCCAGCATCTGGCCTACAACTCACAAAAGGCATTCAAAATATGCCTGCTGAATGAATGAATGCATTAAGAAGTCATTCTTTAAAACTCACATTAATCATACCTCTATTCAAAAGATTAAGGAAGTTTATTTTTCAATATTATTCTA